CCCCCAAAACCCCAAAACCCCATAAGAATAAAATGGAGTAAAATAATTTATATTTAAACTAAATTAATATAATATTGATAATTAAGCTTGAAATAAATACTATGGATTCTTAAATGTTCAAATCAAATTAGACATTATAATCTATTACTTCATCACTTAGAGAATCATTCCAAGCTCTTAAGGCCATGACTGATACTAAATTTGACTAAGTTAAAGGACAAAAAAAGAAATTTGAATAAATTACTCTATGTTTCGAAAAAATGAAAGGTTTAAATAACGATCATTTGCCTGAATATGTTTCACTAATGAGATAGTTGGTCGAATTCTTACACGCCCCTCAATATATCAACTTCTATAGGAATTGTGATAAGATGTTAACTCAAAATCTTGTTAAAAGTTGTGTTGTTGAACCATTCAAAAATAAATTTATGACTCCTAGACCTGAAGGCGGTTTTGAGCTTTCACGCTTTGCTTCTCACCCAAATTTATTAGAGGATGTGAATAAGATTTTTATTGAGCTCTTGGAGTTTAACTTACTGACAGATAAGCTGATGATCATATTGAAACAAGGACTGAATGACTATATAACTTTTATAGATTAAAATAAAGTTATCAAGGAGAGATTTGGTCAAATCACTATGACTCAACTTAGAATATTATTGATAAAATGCAATTTAGCAGATGATGATGCGATATTTAATTAGAGTAATAAAAAGTAGCTTACAGAATTATTTAAGAACAAGAAGGCGAGCAATATGTCATAAAAGTATTTGCAAGAACTGTGTCTGATTAATAAAGAGTTCAGTAAGGAAAAGAAATATTTAAAAAAAATATTCTCAGATAAGAAATCTTATTACCATTTTGTACGTGATATCATACTATGGATACTTGAAAAGTTTAAGTACGATTTCTCGAAAGAAGAAGTTTAAGAATTTCTGGAGTATCTTCGAAAAATATCTAAAAATAATCATTCTTTGATGTCTTCATCATAAAAGAAATAGTCACCAAGCAGATTACACCTTTTTAAAGAAGCATCTCCACCTATTGATGATTCAATAAGACATGATTTCCATTTCTCAAATAATGATAATGAAATTTCGAGTGATAAATTAGCATTTACTTTGAAATAGCATAGCCTAAAAAGACTTAATGATGATAGCTTAGACAACATCAATAAAAGTTTTCAACTACCAAAATTTATAAAATTTGTTGAGGAGTAGAGTAAAAATGATATAAGTCATATTGCTAATTCAGTCAGAAGTGAAAATGTTGTAGAAACGTAAAGAAGTTCACCTTAAAACAAATCTGCAATTAAAATAATAATGAATAACAGTTATCTATGCAGTCCATCAGGTACTGAAAATAGTAACAAAGTATTTTTTAATAATACACTCTCATTGAACTAAAGATCATAATAAAAACCTCTTATTAGAGCGATGACTACTAAGAATAATCGCAATTAGACTGGTAGCTTTTTACCAATATAATCACCAGAAAAAAATACGAAAAATATGCTTGATGAAAAAGTAAAGTTCTTCAAAAGAATAACAACAGAGTAAGATTTTAAGAATTTTATACCTAATGATGAAAATAATCATGATATAAGCGATTTAATAGATGATCATAATGTGAAAAGTAGTGCAATACTTTATAGTGAAAGTAGAGTAATAAGTTAAGCTAGTGCCAAAGATGGGACAAATAAACCAAACACTGATATTTTAAATCGTGTTAGAAGTACATCATATGAACCAGGCAGAAATGTAATGAGAATAAATGGAAATGTAACAGCTAACTAAGTTTACAGAACTGGCAACCTACATATTTAAAATTTCATCACTAATAATAAATCTAAAATTGATCAAACTTAGACTTAATATATGCTTGAAACAAGTAGCTTCAGCATTTAAGACTTACTTATGTAAAAAGGTACAAAATGCATATGCCAAGGTAGTAGCTATAAGAAAGCTCTGTAGAATAATTAAAAACACTATTTTGAGGAATAAAAATTTCACAAAGTTGATAGACTAAATCTCTCTTATCAATAATCATCCTAAAAATCTAAAAAATCTTAAGAAGTCTGCGGAGATCTTTGTAAGTATCTCCAATCAGACTAGCAAAGAAATATAATTCATAAAATTATGTTGAAAGAAAACGGTACTCTTAATAATAAAGCTAACTCAGGTAAAGTTGGAGATAAAAAGTATCTTGTAAACGCACTTTGGTGGAGATAGTGGTGTGATTATGTGAATTTTGATTAAACTGACTTTTCATCTTCAAGCCTGAATGGCAGTAATAAGTAGTTTAATATTACCCAAATAATACCAAATAATCAATAAAACTTCATTGAATCTAAATAATAATCTCAAAATAAGTTTGCATCTAGAAAAATGATATTAGCCAATGAATCAAGCTAGCCCATCAGCAAAATCTAGTAAACAGAAGAGTCTGTTCCATCAGAAAGTGCTCGATAACGATAAGACAGGTTTAGAGCTGAACTGATGAACCTTAAAAAGAGTAAATCAAGGGAGAGAGAAAGGGCATCATCTGATTATAGAGAACATCCAGTAGTACCACTCCCATAAAATACTCTTAGGGAATCTCTTAATATTCAATAAAACTAATATGAAAAGCCAGGAATTATTTAGAACTAGTAAGTCATCCTTTATAATTTAATTAACAATTAATTAGAGACCTTTTAAAGAATGGTAGAAGTATGCATTTAAAAGATAATATAGTTGAGCACTTTGATTATGAAGCAGTGCCTGCTTTAGTATGGAAATATCTGTACTCATGGTACTCAGCTGATTGGTGTATTATGAGATAGATGAAGAAAGATAGAGTTAATGCTTTTGGAGTATTTTTAGACCTCTATCCAGAATTAAATCCATATGTCACTGATGACAACATTATAGATGACTTTGATAACAGCGATAATGGGTCAAATGACTCATTAGAAAGAATGATGCTCAGCATTCCTGAGCTTTCAAAGAATAAAATAAGCTGATTATTTAATCTTATTAACCTAATTGATACTTGATATAATTTTAGCTCATTTTTATTTCAAACTCATGGGGTTTTGGGGTTTTGGGGTTTTGGGG